GGTTCAATGGAAATGGCAAAATGAGGAATAAGAGAACCTTCAGGTTTGTTACTAAAAGACAACATCTAGTGTTGCAACACCCACTAGACAGGAGAGAATCCAGACAAGATATATCTATAGCTAACAGTGCTGCTATGGGAATTTCTGAGGCACAGCCCATATGGGATTTGGGAACTGTGCCAGAAGATCCAAATTTTCAGGTAACTAGGATTTCTTGGTCTCATTGATCCTTCTGATTCCCTCTTTTCAAGAAATTCAGAGCTGTAACAAATGAAGATGGGGGATTCATCTGACTTCAGAGAGGTATAATGCCTAAAAATGTATAAAAACAGAGTCCTAAGGATGCATTTTTTTCAGAGAAAACACTAAATGTGTATGGGCTGGTATAGAATTGCAACAGGTAGAATCTAGAAAATTTGCAATTTTAGAAGTAAAATTTTTTTTTAATGCGTGTCATACCTAGATTTAATTCTGCTCAAGAATTTAAATCAAAATGATCCTAAAACTTCAAGTTTCCCCAGACTCACAGTTTTATCTTATGTGATGAGCTTCACAGATTACATACAGTGAGACAGATCTGATCTTCTGTGAAGAGTAAGTCAGGGGTTCCCAGAGTTGTGCAAAGTGAGTTAAAAGCGATAGTAATTCTTTTATTGTTTGCCAGCTGATGATAAAGAAAAGATCAGGAGAATCAATGCTTTTAATTTTGACCTGTTTTCCACCAGATGGTGCTCCTTCCCTTGTCCTGAGGTTTTTCCTATCAAGTAATATCTGACTGTATCTCTATACCCAGCCCTCTGCCTCTCTTTTTCTGTCTCTACCCACACTGTACACCTGGATGCTTTGCACTGGGTCACAGCCTCTGGCCAGCGCTGCTTTTGCACGTCTGACCTCTGGTTATGTGTGGCTGCTTTATAGGATGTTTGGAGTCTGTTTGATTCTTCAGAACCTTATGTGTTATGAAACTGTGATATTGCAGCCGAGTCCAATCACAATGTGTCAGTACAGCCCAGCGCTTTGTTACCATTACACATATCCACCTTTATGGCACCGTCTGAGACAGGCAAATCAAGAAATTAGTTATCCCCTGTGCAATTCCACACACCAGTATGACTCTTAGAGGCCATGATGTATCCATCAAGCGTGGGATTATGACCCATGATGGAATGTGTTAGCTCTTTGGAAATCACATATTGGTTTCTCCAGACTAGGTCTGTGTCACTGTAAACAAGTGGATGACATATCAAATTAAAAACAAAGGGTGAGTCAAAGCAGGAAACAACACTGCTTTTACACTGTCTACATCTCATGTTTTCAAGAGCACTTGCTGCACTTACCTTGACACTGGGTCGTTCGTTCCCCGCTGTGGGCTGATCTTGCATCAGGCAGAGCCAAGGCAGTTTGGGTCACCCAGGGCAGGCCACCAAAGAGCTCTTTTTACTTCCACTTTATCTAGTAGCAGGAAGACAGCAGGAAAGGATATTGTAAAGGCATCTTTATCTCTTCTAAAAGCTCTGAAAAGTATAAAAAGTTAACACAATGTCCCACGACTTTATCTCTGTCATTTTAGATGTATGGAGTGATACTGCACAGAATAGTAAAGGCCCTGACCCACAAATAATGTTACTGGGACCTTAAAAGCATCCAGCCACTGGATACTTAGTGGACACCACAGATCCAGCTTCAGTCCTATCCTTCAGCCATCAGAATTCTCCACCTGCTCACAGCCCTCCACAGCCCTCACCTCTGCCTTTTTCATGGATCTCCTATTAAAAACTCCTGAATAATTGAGCATATATTTTGCTGCAAGGTTTTCCTTTTATTTCTTTTTCCCTCTCCATATATTTAGCTTGCTGTCAGTCCCCACCCTACCTCCCACTCCACAGTGATGGTACATTATTGGTCTTGTAGATGAGATACACTTACTAGATATCTCAATAATTAAATCAGTGTCGGGAAGAGATGGGTGGGGGTTCCAACACCTGATATAAATACATGGTGAGTAGTAGGAGTTGTTTTTCTGCAGGACTTTTGTGCTTTGCTGTTACTATGTTACTATGGGCTAGGAAGGAGGCAGGTAAGAGATTGTAGAGGCAGAGCTATGTCGTTTTCATAGGAAGTTCTTGAAGGGTTTTACGAGACTGAGAACTATCACTCCCCCATTCACCTCTTCACAAAATAAGACAGACGCTTGCTCAAGCTGCACAGTGAGTCACTGTTGAATAGGTATGCCTGGGCTTTATCTTGCAACTCTATAATGCATTTTGCAGACTCTGTAACAACAGAAGATTCAAAAGTGAATTAAAAAGATTAAAGAAAACCTTGGTGAGACTATAACAAACCTAAGAGTTGTAACTGTTGAGTTCTATTCTCTCCTGTTGAAGGTTGCTAATTCATGTACCTCCTTCCATTCACAGATCAAGAATCATCTTAAAAACAGTTAGGACTTCTGCTGAAAAGGTGAACTAAAATTCCTTTCTGCTTCCTTCCCTTTTTCCTCACCTTTTCATGGAAGAATAAAATTTTGAACTGTGAATAATTTTAATTTCCTTTTTTTTCTTTTTTAAATTACATACTTTTCCATTACCTGTGTGCCATATTTACGTGCAAGTGCAGGTATTTAATTTTAATGTCAAAAAACATTATACTTTGCTCACTGTCAAGCAGCTCAATCCTAGAAATAGCTTCTTCACAGACTGTCCATGTGCAGGAATGATGACCAATTGCACAGACTCATCCTGAGCTTAATTTTCCTTGACGTTTTAGTGATGCATTGGATCATGTGATCTGTTGTAAGGTCTATGTGCCCTGTTTTTTCAAATGCCTAAATGCTATAACCTTCACAGACAGATCCACTCTTAAAGCAAAAAGGGGCAAAAATATACTCCCACAGTTGTGATTATAGTGGTAGAGCCATTGCATGTGTTTGTGCCAAATACTTCAAGGATTAAGTACAGTAAATGTTATGGTTCAAGATCTGTTTGTTAGTATGGATTGGAAAGCCTACTTTAGTTTGGTCTTTTTCTACCTAGAAGTTTGCCCTCATTTTAGAAACAATTCATAGGATTCTTTGTCTCATCTTCACTCTCCAGCTACCATAATAGTAGGATGCATTTACAGGAGAAGGAAAATTATTAGAAGAATTTAAGCTCTCATCTGATCCACTACCCAAAAGAAAAAACTTCCTAATATTTGTGGCTAAATGTATTTCTTCTTCCCCATCTAAAGCTGCTTGATTCACATGTCTGGGAATGATTTTTGTCAGAGGACAAGCTGATATTGACTGGTCATTGTGAACATTGATTTAGAAACAGTCACAATTCTGATTGTGACAATAGGGCTGCAGGAAATAGTTCTTTGTGATAAAAGAATGCAAATCACACAGTATGCATGCAGAAGAGTTAATCCAACAAAAAGTGTTTTTATCTCAAGACAGGTATGCAGTTTAAGAATATGCTGCCCTTCCTTAGACATTTTAATTACAGCTGGAGAGAGATAAGCTAGCACTCAAAGTGACAGCTAGCTTTGTATTGAGACCAAAGGAATGAATATCTTTCTCATTACCAGTCTCAGGCACGGGCAGGCAGAAGAAAAGGTAATGTTAAGATTTGAGACAGGTCTAGAGATCCTGCCTCCTCCCTATGCGAGCCAACTGGGGGCAGTGGAAGCATAGCTCCATTACTGGGCTGGAGGAATTTGGACTCATGATGTTCAGCAGTAGCACTAGTGATTTAACTAGTAGCACTAGTTAAAGGGCTAAAAGTTAAGGAGAGAAACTGCTTTTGGTGTTTCATAGACTCATATAATATAGTGAAGGTAGTCTTGCACTGACACAGAGAGTGGTAAATTAATCTAACATTTTAGTTCTGTCTCAATTCTGAAAATAACAGGCTACAAAAGCTGGAGTGAGGAGGGAGAGGACTCTGCCTCCCAAAGTTTACCAAGGAAATGATGATTCAGAATTTATCAGAGCTGAAGTGACAAAAGAAGAATGTGCTTTCCAGAAAGCCTGCAGCTATGCAGGTCAGATGGGCACTGCTCCTGGCATGGAGCCGTGGGTGGTATCGATTGCTGGGCTAGCACTATCTGGTGTCCTTGAAGCTGATGGCACAAGTCTTCTGACTTTGCCCCCTGCATTTAGATTTGGATGTTCGGTGTCAGAAGGCTCCTTTTTCGCTCCCCCTTTTCTTTTTTCCTTCATAGATACTATAGTAAACACTGTTTGTTTACCAAAAAGAACTCAGTGTCTAGACCAAGGTCTCATTCACCTCTAAAATCCTCTTGAAAGACTTTAAGAGACAGAGTATGAGGCGCTCTGCAGCACTGGCGCTGGCAATGGCAGTGCCCCTTGGCACCCACTGCAACATTGTAGCTCCTATGGCTGACGCATCCTTTTCAGAGGCTGTGAGCATTTCCTGGGGAAGCACATCTAGTTGAAGGTCTCTTGGCCACATCCCTTTTTCTCTCTAGGACATAAGAAGAGCCAGCAAAACCATACTGTATAGATCCCGCATATTAGCAAAGCAATGATGAGTTTCTCCGTGTCTTTCTCAAGGGAACTTTGAAGTCATTTAAAGAGCTTTGGGAATGTATATTTTAATAACAACCTGGGACTGTACTTGCTGGTCTTTGCATTTGGCTTGCCATTTTGTTTACTATAGTGTTTGTGAAATAGGGACAAACCATAAACAACTATATAGCTGCACCTCTGCAATGACATGCTCTGACATGCACAAGGATTTTCAGTGGAAGTGTTCCTGCAACCTTCTTAGTTCTTTGTGGGTTCTCAAGTCATCCAGTTAGGGAGAAAAACAACCATAACACGTTACTGAGGTCACAGGATGAATAAGACATTATGAATAGTCATACTGGAAACAAAAGCTTTGGTGAATACTTGGTGAGAACTGTGGGGGTTGACAAAAGTTTGCAGAGTAATTCAAATTAATGAAGCACATGGAAAAATGTTACCTTGTGGATAATTTCCAGGCAAAAAGAGCTTTTGAATAAACTGTTCGATGTTGGGATTTCACTCACCCTTATTTTCATCTGAGTTGTGAATCATCGAGACATCATCTTGAAGGTAAATCATTAAGTCAAAAAATTTAGGGGGTAGGAGGGGGGGATGAATGGCAATCAATGTGTCAGGTTTACCCTATGTCCCAGAGCAGTGAATAATTGCTTTCTGTTGCTGTAGCAACTGGATGGCTTAGTGCCTAAGCTTAAACTTCTCCCCAGCAGTGTCAGATCTTCTTAGTGGGTCATAAATAAAAGTGAATATATCTTTTTTGCATGAGAAAATTTGCCAACAGATAAAATACCTTTCTTTCTTATACCATTTTAAAAGAGCATATACTAACATGCCCACATAATAACTTGTCCATTTGTGACAAGGCTTTTCTCTATATCATGTTTTACTGCCAACAGTAACAGTCAACAACTTCCTTCATGAACTGCTGCGATTTTATCTGGAAGTTTCAATCAGATGTGTATTTGTAAGTTTCTCTGACTATAGACTGTGAAGCTTTATACATTTATTCTTCCAGCAGCTGTGTAAAGTGATACAATGCTTTATAGCTCTGGACCTGAAAGATAAATATCATATAACCTGCCTATGGTGTTGCAGAAAGTCTACAGTAGTAAGAGAAATACACTCCAGATTTCTTAAGATCAACCCCTAAATACATAATCGTCCAAGCTAAACATCAACTCTGAGATCATGGATCCAGGCATATCTGTCCCTAATATGATAAATGACAGAAACACTTTGGCACAAAAAAGATGGTGGGAGGTTGAGTGCTAGAATATTTATTTTTCTCAATCTTACGTAATCTTAGCATGTTGGTCTGTTTTTCCTACCTGTGAGGTAGATTTTTCAGGTTTTTCTTAAGTGATGGAACATACTTCAAGTCCGCTTTGGTCATTCGGTCACTTTTTTCCCCTTTCTTCCACAAAATAAGAAAAGGTTTGCCATCTGTCAGTAAATTTCCAGTGGAAGGATAGAATTGGTAGCAGCAATCAGCTGAAAGTAAGAATGTACTTATTACATGAAAGTGCATGCTTAGCAATTAAAATTTTCTAAAATAATATTGTAGTTGTTTTTGTGCTTTATATACAGTATTAAAAATAAAATAGTCTACCACATGTAATTTATGAAAGCAGCAAATAATGAGTTCATTATTGCATAGCAAGACAATGTTGCAGTCGTGGTTATACGCCTAGCCAAAGTCTTTGATCTTCTGGTTCATTAATGTATAAATGAAAAGACTTTAGCTAATTATCCCCGTAACTGGTCTCACTCAGGTCTCAGTCAGTTCTTATTCAAGGGCTTACCCTTTCATTTTCCATCCTCTATGCAGGGAGTGAGTCACCTGAGCCATTGTCCTTTCGTATAAGATATTTGTTATTTTCATAGCTCTCTGCAAGGGACTCATCTGTCTATAAAATTTGCAATTGAAACAATTTGAAAAATGCCTGGTGATGTAGCTATTTGCACTGACACCATTGGATACTAGTTAAGAGGAGCTGACTTTAAATAGGCAAATGAAACCCTTAAAAGTTCAGCTGCCGCAGGGCTGAACCGAGTATCATCAGAGCATTACTTTACTCTTTGGGCTTTTTCCTCTGCTCCCAGTCCATCAGGCTGTGAAACCCATGACTGTGAGTGAGAGTCAATGTTAACAGGGCATTTAAAAAATCCAGTGAAGGTGAATTCTTGAATCTGCTTGTCTGGCTATTAGAGTGCACTCTGTCAGAAGTGAACAGCAAATATTTCCCACTAGAAAAACTTGGTATAATTTTAAAGCCTCCTATCTGCTCAATGCTCTCTACTCAAGAACATGGTATAATTTATAGCTTTCATTCACCTCCAAATATTGAAAATGGCCCCTTCTATTCTGACAAATGTCAGTCAAAATTATATATATAATATTAATTCTCAATTCTAAGTGAAGGAAATCTGATCTGGATGGTGATTTTAAAACATGGTCTTTATTTTATACACAGATCATGGTTTTCACCTTGCATCTCAAACCATATTAATAGTTACCAAAGTGTGCTTAGTAAATCATTACCAGTCTCTCTTCCCTTACCTCATTTTTTCATTATTTTAATAATAACAAATAACAGTGCATAGGAAGATTATGTTCCTGACTTAAAACTTGCACATGAAAATATTTTAGGGTAGGATACTAACACACATATCCCGTGTTTCTTTACTGTAAACAAAACACATTTTTTTAAGAATTATGTCAGTAGAAATTCACATGAAGTTCACATGTTACAGTGTTAGTATGACGAATGTTTGGAATGGTAAGACTGCTGACATGTCTGCAAGTTCTAATATAATTTCTTTCTCGTTGTACCTTGCAACGAGTGATGAATCTATGTAAGAATGTATTCTGGCTTACCTGCCTTGACTACTATTGATTTTCCAGAGATTAGACCTGATGCTGGGAATGGAGTTTGTTTTATGCAACTGTGCTATGCAGAGAAAAATGCTGAAGGTAATATTTAACAATTGTTGGACTCACATATAATTAACCATCATTTTCTGGGGAATTTGCTTCTGTTGTTTTTTTACTACACACAATCGTACATAAGCAGGTGGCTGCTTTCTTTTTACTTGTACCCTTATGGACAATGCATTTCATGGTGCCTCAGTGCCCCTACATACAGCATTATTGGAGATGTGGAAATGAGATATGATGTACAGTTTAGAAGATGAAGTGACACGGTGAGAGGAATATGACAGTGGATTATAACTGGAGTATATGGCTGAACATGAGCAGGGTAAAACTGAGCCAGATGACTGGGATAAGCTTCTTGCCAGAACGTCATATATCACTGAATAGTCTTGTGAAGGAAGAGGTACAAGTACCATTTTGAGTAACACTTAGAACTAGTCTAGATGATAGACCAGGTATAATGGTAGTTATAATAGTTTCAATTCACCTGATTGATCAAGGAACTGATTTGGAGGGACCAAAAAGCCCTAAAGCCTGTAGCAACCTGGTCTGATCACTTACCTGGCTGTGGTTCTAACAGGAGGTTGAACTAGACACCTAGTGAGGTCTCTTCTACCCTGAACTGTCCTATGAAATTACAGAATGGTTAAGGTCTGAAAGGACCACTGGAGGTCATACATGAATATAAAAATCAGATAAATACATCCAAGTGTATGGTGAAGAAAAAAAATACAGAAAGTGACTTTACCATTTCCTATACAGTCCAGAAATTGAAACTCCTCTATCCCCTTGCTTTTCCTTTGCCTCCCCCTTTCCTTTTCTTCTCCTCTCCTTTTCTTATTTTGTAAGTTCTGGCCATATTAACACACTTTCCTGTGTATCTGTCTTGAAGTCCAAGACCATGCTTTTGTTCACTTTCTGTCCATCCACAAGAATGATCAGATCTACACATCTCGTGCCTGTCACCATTTAGATTAGATCGTCAAGACCTGTAACTAAACTGTGTAACTGGCAGTAATGACAGAATATCCAATTCACTTTGGTAGCAGTGGTGCAATCTCCTAGTACAGACATTGACTTAAAGGCTGTGTCCATTCTTTCCTCCAGATTTGGCAGCTCCGTAGAAGTTTCTTTCAGGTATGCACTTGAGGGACATTTCTGCAATGTGCATATGTGTGTGGAGGTGCATGGTAAAGCCATCTGTCTTCTTAATCAGTGGTTTACTTAACTATTTGGGGGGCTCATTCCCACCAGAAGGATGATTGCAACAGGCATTGCTGCTTGTTAATATGTCTGCATGTAATAGAAAAGATTTCCTGCAGGCCATGAGACCAGTGGTGAAGTTTCCTGAAGATCACTACTCCAGCTCCAAGGCTTTCGCTGTGTTAGGGAGCGGTTCAAGGAGAGACTCACTCCTTTGAAATTCAGGGCTGTGTTGCTGTGGGTCACTGAGCCCAGTTTGCAAGCCACAGAATAAATCCTAGTAAAGTCACTACAATTCTTCTCATTCTTTCCTCCCACAGATGCACCATGCCAGTTTCCTAAAAGCCATTTCAAAAAGCACATGGGAGAAACTTGGGAGAAGGTTTTTCTTTCTAAATAAATCAAGTAATTAATTCTGACTAATGCAATGTTGCATAGTAACCCTGTACAGGGGTGATGAAGTGCCAGCTTCGTGCCAGTGTGCCTCACTGCATTGCCTGTGACATTCACATGGTGCCTTTCCACGATTTTGCAGCCTGTTTTGCAGGAGGCAGATGCAACTCCTCTGCACATACGGCCACAGAGCTGAATTAAATTGTCCCCTTGTCCTGGCAAAAATGATGTATACATAATTTAATCTGGGAACAACATGCCAGATAAAAGGATTAGAAAAATGAAACCTCTGCAGAGTAAAAGGTATAGGGATAATATTGTGGCTATCAGATGGGACAGCCCCTCTCAAAGACTAATGCAGCAGAGCTCTAAGGACAAAGACTGAATTTCTGTTCCCCTCAAATTCAATTAGCATCGTAAGCATTGTAAGTGTTAGTACAATAGTCTGGTATATCCAAGACCTTCCTTTATGAGGTCCCTAATTAACTCTGTAGAGTCCTCATATCTAGACATATCCATTGAAACTTGAAATGTCTCACAAACAGGAATGCATTCATCTTTGTAGTGTTATATGTTTCAAGAAGAGCAGCCTCATTAGCATCATAGACTAGAAAGACCTCGAGAGGCAAATTGCTGAAAGAATGTGACAGAACCCAGAGGAATAACCCAGGCCACTGTCTTATTTCTGTTCTGCTTAGCAAAAGTCTCTGCTCCATGGTGCAAGATTTGTAGTGGGAACCAGCTGGCTTTCTCTGAGGTCAGTGTTAAATACTTGTTGAGTCTATCCCCTATCTCCTTTAGAACAATATTTCCCCTGGTCATGCATGCATGGAATATGCATATTCCCTGGCAGATGGTGTACTGGTATGTCCCAGTAAGGGATGTGAGAAAACTCTTGGGACATATAAGGATATGGGACATACATCTACTGAAAGATTTCCTTTAACTGCTAGCAAAGTGAAAGTATAGTAAGGAAAGGGTGCATTGTTTCAATTTCATTATACAAACAAATAAAAGTGTT